TTTCATTGTTTGCTTAGCTCCGCCACAGCATGTGCATTGTTCCTCTTTATTATTGAATCTCGCTTTATGGCTACGCGTTCGTAGACAAGCCGATCTCACCTCGAACAGTAAAGCGCTTTCCCTTAAATTATAATAAAACCTCTCACTCTTTATTTCATTCTTGCCCTTTCGGTAGGTACTGAGAGCCGGCTTTTCTTTTTTTCATCGCTGGCATCCAATAAATTCTCTCCGCATCTTTTATTTTTCGCTTATTTGTTCTTGTTGCCATATCCCCTACATTGTCAGCCGTATATTTACTGGTGAGCCTCCTAGTTCTTTTTCTCCACTTGGTGTGCACGCTCTTCCTATACAAATACCTGAACAATTTCTCTCCCCATCTACTTTCCTTCATTTTCCTAAGCCCCTCCTAAGCGCCTTTCCGGGAGCGCCCAAGGCGAGGCGTCCCACAGTCCTTTGATTTACATATGCGGACATGGAGCGCCACCCTGTCGAACGCAGCCAGAAGCATTCCTGCATACAGACAAATACTAACGTGAACCATGCCACCGTGCTCGATGATCGGACGAAGAAAAAGAAGCATCGAGACCGGCGTTATTGTTGTATTCACACAAATTTTTTAATCACAGGAAAACAAATATTTCAGAGCATGCATAGTTGACTCCCTCAGGCGTCGATTTCCACGAATGCACATGGGGTGGTGCTCTGGAAAACATCACAAGTCTTTTCATAGAAGCTTGCCTTGAAAACGTCCAAGAACGCACATGAAAACTTAGGTTGCGTAAGCATCACGCAATATATTACGCACACCGTATTTATTCTATTGTAACACGACCACGGTTGTGATGCGAAGGCTAATGTTTCATTATGTCTGAGAAGAAAAAAAATAATATTTCGGTACTTGGTAAGCAAAGGTCGAGTTTAGTAGCAAAAATATTAAAGAAAAAATACCTTGCGTCCCACTCTAGTAAATACGGTATTATATCTATCTGCCACATGCACAGTTCCAGATCGGTTACAATACGATTACTGCTATAGAAAGCCCGTGTTGATCTACGCGTGTTGCGTTACTGATCATGCACTGCATGTCGACTACGGAATCACCAAAGAGTCAATTACCACCAGGTAGTTCAAAGACATTCTTCTTTTTTTTTTTTTAGTTATCAGGCTTAGACGACCGCCGACAGCAAGCTGGCGAACGATCTGCAGACGACGGCGAGTCGACTTCGTTAAAGCAGGACCACTGCGACATGTTTGCATTTCCGCTTTACCCGGGCCTTTCATGTGAAGGTTGCGTTAGACATTAAATTGCCGATTCACCGTCCGCTTCAAAAATTTGTTTTAAAGACTGCGATACGAGCATTTTGTGGGTTCATTGCAATAGCTGCGACTACTAACTACATAAATTCAGAACAGCTGGGTTGAATGGTATACCTCAGTGCTGCCTGAGAAACTACCAATTTCACTTCAAAGTGGGCGCATAACGGGCAACCTACACACTACGTCAAGCTTTGCAAGCGCTATTTGAACATACTTACTTGTAAGTTTACGCCGTACAATGCTAGGCATGACTTCGAAAGGTCTCACTGTTTCTTCCTAGTCATAGCCGTACTTCACATCGGACAGCGTCCGTCCTTTCGACAACACAGTCTCGCGAAAGTATTTGACTGCCACACCGCATCCATGAAACCATAGCGGAGAATAATCGCTAGCATCGCTACTCGAATGCTGCGTCGCAGTTTTCAGCGAAATGTCCAATTCGTCGCTGGTCTTGCGCGTTCCAAAGAACCTAAAACACGACGCAAATCCGGCAAAGCCAGGGGGTAGTGTCGCACGGCGCTCACCATTTCTTTCAGCGCGCGCAACGCGTACGAGCGCCTCGCAGCGGATCTGTCCTACTAGCTAGTTCTCAGCCAGCTCGCCAGGGTGGCGCATTGTGAGAATTTTAGGCGCGCATGGAGGAAGGGAAGGCGCGCCACCTGGGCAGCGCTAGCTTCCCATTAGCAACATTCAACTATGTGTAGTGGAAATGTGAAGCCATCGACTCCGCGTTCAGCGAGGACAGGTGGACAGTGTGCTCTTACGCAGCCCCGAACTCAACGATAAAACCCTGGCCGTCCCGAGCACGGCCTCCTCTATAGATTATATAGAGGAGGTCGTGGTCCCGAGTGCCCGTGAACGAGCAGCCAAGCTCGGCTTGACGGTCCCGACGTGTGGCGCGGGGTTTCCTCAGGATCAAATTAAAGTTTTAATCAATCAATCGGGTTGCCTCAGAACGCATAGTCATAAAGCGAGATTCGATAAAGAACAACAATGTACATGCTGTGAGGGAGTTAAGAAAATGATGGAACATATGTTCTGATTGAATATATGCGGCGATATCCACAGGTACACGTGTGGGTAGAAGTCTACATGAGGCTTTGCGTTTCACGGACAAACATGGAAAGCTGAACACGTCCGCGATACAAAAAAAGAGGTTGACGGCCCAGCAAAGGCAGAAATAGTGGGAAAATAGGGTTATTGTGCCTGAAGAGGCAGAGAGATGGAACATATATATTTTTTTGTTATAAGATCGATTTAATCGAACTATATAAGGCACTAGGCTAACATAAAATGAAAGATTTCTTTTCGTTTTTTTTTTTTTTGCGAGCCTGGTGGCACACTTGTCACCACCCCGTTATAACGTGGACGCTCATAGGATCTATCCATCCGCTATATCCAATGTTTCTTTGCAATTTAAGTTGTAGTGAGTAAAAAACTCCCAAGCATTTCCCCGAGGGTGAACATGGTTAAGTGCGAATACACGGGGTGATGCTATGAGGGGTATTTAAGAATTCGCACTATTATATTTATTATTCACACTATGGTGCCTTTATGGTGTAATGGTTCCTGGGAATCGCAATTTGATCACACGGGGGAGTTTACGTTAACTCACTGGCGAATGCCAACGGATTTTAACTTTACTCCCCCTCACGACCCGCTCTCGACGGGAGACTGAGAGAGAAGGCGGGCGCGCGAGAGAGAGGGGTGCGCGCGCAGCTGCAGCGAGCGAGGAGAGCGGAGGAGCGACACCGATATCAGCGTCGCGTCCGTGGCCGCGCGGACGAGTCGCGGACGAGGGGAATCGCTGATGTGAGGTCACGTGACGCGCCGTCCGTCCCGCCACATCGGGATTCGGTCCGTCGTCTGAATGCACCATTATTCGGTAGAGCGTCGCGCTGCGGCCCGCCAAGTCCTCTTTCTTTTAAAGATAGAGAGAAGACTGCGGACGCCGCCGACGGCGGTGGATGGTTTGGGGTCGCTTATAAAGTGTATTCACACTTAATATCCCAGTCAGCAGCGAAGAATGCTATGTAATCAGCATAAATGAAGACAGTAACCACCACCACGCCATAACAGTTTGAAACGGGCTTTAGATAGGCCGCTCATCCAGCTTAGCTGTGACGTGATCTGCGAAGGCCTGGCGGCGTGTTTCTGAAACATTTCTGTTCAAAAAAAAAAAAATCGCGTAATCGGCCTTGCGTGCGCAGCGGCGGCTACATATGGTTAGAGCTTCCGCTTCCAATGCGGGAGGTGCTGGGTTCGATTCCCAGTGCCGACCGAGGCGAAACCCACCGGTTTTCCCCAATGGGTAGAGGAGTACACCGACCTTGCGCTCGGTTGTTTCTGGGTACTCATCTCGAAAGGCAGCCTCATAAGGTTCTGCGAAGGCCCCTGGGCGTACATTAACCCACCACAGCCTTAGTGAAATAGCCGAGCATCTGCCGCTGCGTGGGAGGCAGAGAATTGCTGTCGCCAGGCACCTACTGGTTAATAGGTACAAGCGCACTTCCGGCGTGGTGCTCGGCAGAACGCAGTTATAGTCGCTTGGGAGGGCACCCACCCCGGGGGAAATTGGCGGCATGGGACCGCAAGACCTTAAATTAAGGTCACCCCCCCCCCCCTTTTTTTTTTTTCCTTGCGTTATCACCACACGCCCAGCACTTCCAGGTCATGCGGTGCTGCACGATATTCTTCACTCTCGAGTAAAAATGGCGTCTTCTTGCCCCACAAAAATAATCTGACTCGCTTGCGCTTACTTCACGTCACGCTGATCGTCACGCTGGTAGGTCACGCTGATAGCGCGCGTGCCGTTCGTGACATGAATGTGCCGGGCACGTGAACATTCTCAAAAACGATACGACAGGACGGGCGTTCTTCTGAATGACGTGCTATGCGTTCAAACATTCTCGTGAACTAAGCACCATATCGCCGAATGTCAAGTTTTTTTCTTGACCTTCAATTTTTTTAAGTGTTTACAGAAGTGACAAAGGCGTTAGGTTGGTGGTGCACGCAGGTACCAGACGGGACAAAATACTCGCCAAACGGTGCCCTCTCGGCGAGTTTTTTGCCCCAGTGATAATCGTCATCTACTTGCGTGCCTTTCCACGACCGCATTAACGCCGCGAATTCGATGCCACGAACGGTGCGCGCTGCCACCATGTATTGCATTCTTGAGGGTGAAGTGTTCGCCAGGTACAACCTTGCAAGAAAAAGCCACATTATTATAGTTGTGGGACGGAAAGAAAAGAATCGTGGTGCTTTTAAGTGTAAAATGTTTTTTTTTCCCGAACTGGTTTGAATTGATTGATTTATATGTGAGATTTAATGTCCCGAAACCAGGATTATGAGAGACGCCGTAATAGAGGGCTCCGGAAATTTCGACCACCTGGGGTTTTGTACCGTGCACCCAAATCTGACCACAAGGGCGAACCAGTACGAATTAACTCTTACAATTTTCGCACCCTAAAATTGCAACTGAACCAACCCTTACCATATTCATTTCTTCATCCTGGTACTCCATGCATGTTTTTTTTTTTGTTTTTTCGTTGCAAAGCCAGCTTTCTGAAACGCGATCAGTCGCTCGAGCTCGTATTTTGCGGGTCAATTAGCTGAAGTCTCTTTAACCCCAGCAAATAACCGGCTAAAAGGCGTCGTATGTAGAGGCTGTGGAGCAAAAGTCCAGTAATAGGAAGTTTTATTTGAAGAAGTGGTCAGTAATAGTACAATTATACACTTCACAATTAAGACAAAAACCTTAAATTCCTCATCAAACGTGTAAGTTGACCAGCAACCCGCGTCGGTGGCGTCAACATGAGTGATTAAAAAAATCACGCAATGGCATCACCATGTCAAGACATGACGTTGCCAAAATTTGTTACGTCACGATGACATCATCACGACATCGTCGCAACTTGGTCAAAGGTGGGCCGATCACGGAGGCAGTGCAGAAAGTAAGTTAGAAGCAGATAGATTTAGGTGGTGCCGGAGCAAGATCAATGCATTGACTGATACTGTTTTTGTGGTTTTGTGATGTTATACCCCATAAATCAATAAAATTACATATACTGCTTTTTGCTACTTCATGGAGGAACTGACAGCGAGCACATTTTGACAAACAAATGGCAAGTTAAGGCACAAGGAAGATGATTGGTTAAATACATCTTTTCATTTGATAGAATTGTAATGCAAGAATAAAACGGCATTCAATGATGCCAGTATGACTACAATTTGAAAACCATCTCCGATGGAGGACTGTTTTTGTCATTTTAGTTCTTTGCTGCAATCAAAACTATGCACAAACAGGCCCAACTCACCATCAAGCTCTGGCAGACTTGGCCTAGCCTAAACCAGACTTTATGACTGCGACAGTTTGCTTTTATCATGCTAGACCGATGCACAACTGTATGGCCATGAATGTGTGCCCTGCCACACTACTGTATTGTTTATCATATAGTATGAAAGCATTACTTCTAGGTACCACACAGTACCTGCAAGCCTTCAATAGGCATCACAAGTCCGACATCTGGCTCCATCGTGTCATCCATGGGGGCATTGCAGATATATATTGCTGAAGCATGCCTAAGTTGTAGACATGGCAGGCAAACACGTGTCGCTGTTCACTGCTCCATCGAAATTGTAAATATTGTTACACTAAAATACACTCCCACACACTATTACTTCTTGGAAGCAACTGTGATGCTTTGCTTTTACATATTTAATAGATATTTTTCCCATAAAGCAATAAATTTTTTAAGGTCAGATTTCATTGGACATTACTGGTTTAAATTAAAAATTATCCTTTTTCATAAGAATAAATTCTTGCAATAAGAGTTAACAAGGAATGGAATGCCTGCAAAGAGCAGTAACAGCACCAGGATATGACCAATTACACATTATAGTACATTATATAAGGAAATGACTTTAGTAGGCACCACTGAAAACCTGCCCATGCTTGAAGTGTAATGTCTGTAAATGTAGATGAATGTTGCTAAGTTGTACACTGGCACAACAAATATAGAGGCAGGCCAGCAACTGCAGGCAATGCCCTGCTATCATTTCTGCAGTTGTATGCCTTGAGTAAAAGAAATATGTGAATGTCATGTTGTCTACAGCAAAGAACACAATTTGAAAAATCAACAGCTGACTTTGCACCTGGGTTTAATTCATTTGTATGTACAGTCAAACTTGATATATTGCCAATTTCACAAAGTTCTTTGTTGTATATTATATATATATATATATTTATATTTATATACTCTTTTCATAGTAACATACTACACAAAGTAACCTTGGTGTCTGACATCTTGGCAATGACTTTCAGGAAATAATGGTTCATTATAGGATGCTATATCTAAAACAATAATTACAGGCAGATCATTACTGCAGGTGGTGTGGTTCTACAAGCTGACAAAAACACAGGCATATATGTACTCTCAGCTGTCTTGTACGCCCTCAGTATCTATATCTTCATTATAAAATGAAAAGGAGCAATGCAGCAGTGTCACAAGACCCAGATATGCCAAGATGAGCAGCACTGTAAACGGGAAAGAGTTTGAACAAGTATTTACACATACAACCAAAGTAATGCATTACAGTGGACCAACACTTCAGAAAAAAGCCTCTTCACAACCACAGCCTACAGAAAACACTGACTGAAAAGTAAAAATAACAGATTTTTCAATACACTAGGAGAAACCACAATAAATGACTTAAAAGCACAGGCAAGATTAGGAGATGAAGACTGCTGCCACACATCAACCAACAGTGTTCACATAGCAACAAAACTCACAAGCTGTACTAAATTCCATAAAGCACACTTTCAGCAGGGTCATTATCACTAGCTCCAAAAATTTGTTACAATAAGAAGAATTTCACCTGTGCAGCAGACTAGGCTACTGCTGGAAGAGCACAGCACAGATGCCAACATTGGCTAAACTCTACACCAGAACAGGAATGCACCTAAGTAGGCCTCCTTCACTTCTACTGTACTTTTTTTTCTTTACATGGTATTTACATTTTCCCCAGAAAGCCTGGCTACCTGAATGCAATCCTGTAACGATCTTCGTTGTAGTCCCTACAGGGATTTCCTTCGGGCCAATACAGGATTCAGTGCATTTAGTAAAACATATGTACAGAGCTAGGCAGCTCTATTTCAATATATACCCAGCTAAAAGTCCAGTTGCACCCAGACAACGATAGATACTGAGGGAACCAAAACAATATTCACTTTGCAAGCTTTTTCAGAACCTGAGAAAGTTTTTGTTTTAGAGACTAATGGTGGCATGCATATATATATATATAATGCTTCGTTTTTTTCTAAAAACTCGGTATTCAGTGGTCCTCTAATGCACCTGAGAAAACAGCCCCTTCATGCCAACATGCTGCCTCAGTAGATCACCGGCAAGGAAACATCAGTTTAGTTCAATTCCAGCACACACTACTTTTTGTTTTTTCATCATGTGAGATACATTTGACATGCACCGATGTATAAAAAGCCATATGCTTTACCAGACCAGTTGTAATCACTTTAGGCAAGTTAGCATATGCAACAAATAAATATATATTCCTTAAAAGTTGATGAACACCACGACTTTACAAACGCCCACAACTATGCAGAAGTTTCACACAGGCTACCCTAAAGTGGCAAAATGTCACTAAAAGAGACCATTCAACAAAGGAACCAACTTCGATTACACTGGATGCCATTGTAAGGCGGCGCCAGAGCTGACTAAAACATAAAAGCAGACACAGGTCAAAAGCAGCTGACTGCTCGAGAAAATCATTGCACCACTACAAATACCAGTGTGGTGTTGTCGCTTATCACAGTACCAAAACATACAGGAATTCAAGTCAAACAAATTTCACCTTTTAGGCCTGAATGCGGAAAACAAGCAGTGCATAAACAATGTCTAGCAAGCAGAACAAAGGCAACAAAAACACATCTGAAGTTACCTTTCATCTCTTTTCTTAAAGAAAGAAAGAAAGAAAGAAAAGAAATCATTGCACTTTGTCAGGCAATGTAGCTTGTTGCCTTGAAGGTAGCACATAACCTAAATACCCTGGACAGCTGGCATTGGAGACATCTAAGCTCCTCATCAAAATTCTCTAGGTTATCTCTTTCAGCCTGACAGGGTCCCGAAGTGCTTCTCTTGAAATTTTTGCTGCCCCACGAGCAGGTGTAGGGGCAGAGAAGGCATCATTCCTGAGCAAAGCCTTCAGTCTCTTCTATGGCATAGGTTAGCTTTTCCACCAACTGCTCATAGCTCTTGTAGGGTGGCAAGTCCAGCCGGTTGAAACACGTGTGACTTCGAGGAAGCCACGTCTCTTTGCCCACTTTCTCAATGCAGAAACGCTGTGGCCCATTGCTCCCTGAGTAAGCAAATGTCAAAGCAACACGGTCTACACTTACAACACAAACTTGGTCCAATTTGCACTAAAGTGTTATAAACTGTAAAAATTTATTACTCTCATCAAAATTCTATGTGCCTTTTTGTCTCCCAAACTTTAACTTAAGCGTAACTGTCAAATGTAAGGTTCTGTCACACAAATCGCAAATATGTCGCATTGAGGCAGCCATAGGAACGATTGTTGTTTATTGGTTTAATGACTCAAGGCAATACAGGGCTATCACAGAGAGACATCACAGCAAAGGCTACATAATGTTTGGACAAGTGGGAGTTAATGTTGCATTTACCTCATTAAATTTTGGTCAGTATTGCCGAAAGTTGTATATAATAAAGGTCAAGTTTAATACAACTAAATATTGCATATGAAAACGGCAACTTCATTACATAGATATGCCCTTTGAAATAAGCATTTATTTGTCTAAAATGTACAGAAAAATAATTAGGTCATGTTAAAGCACTACTTTGATTAAATGAATTTATTAGAACACATTCACAAGTGACCACTACAGTAGTAGTAGTAGTTTGAGGAGAGAAAAAACACTTATTTCTGCAACTCATAAGAGAGCATAGCTCAGCTTTTTAATAATAGAGGAAAGAGAGTAAAAAAAGAAAGGAGAATTAAGTACCGAAAATGACCAAACCACACACACGAACAATCGCACGCTTATTGAAGATGGAAGAAAAACTGAAACGATCCAGGCGTGATCCATAGCGAACCACAACCGTTTTTATTGTCACTTTCGCCGTAGTACAGTGGTGTAATGCAGAAAAGCATCCTTAAAAAAAAAAAAAAGGCTTTTAGCTATTGTGGGACAGTCCATTCTGCCTATTAACTACATATGCGTGCATGCACTATATACTAAAATGCACCATTACGATTTCAGAACTCTAAATTTACTTGAAATCACGCAGAGCTGTGCATGATGTTTGCATGGCCCTGAGAAACAATAAACGCCACAAGACGCTGGTATGTCCCCAAGAGTCATGTTTACAAGAGCTTCTGATTATTCCAACTACATAGAATTCAAAGACAACCCTGAAGGTCTCTCAAATTTGAATTATCAAGAGCATCTTCTATCTGCTTTAAAGTTAAAGTGTTCATGACTAGCTGCAGCCAAGTCCGAACAGTCCCACTGCGCACACAAAACTGCCTGGAGAGCTGAGGTAAGCACTTTCCCCCAAGGAGTGAGTTCATGTTCCTGACCTCAAATGGGTGCATGAAGTGAACAGATGAGCTCTTACAATATTGCACTACCCCCCGCCCTCTCCCCGAAAAACCCACCCCACCAGCCGCAGCTCTGTGCCCACTCCTAACAAAATCACCATTCCGAGGTGTTTTGAGCATTGCCGCAATGTTGCAGGGTAAGTGGTGGCGACATCTCACAATATTTCAAGTTGATAGATGATCATGCGACAAGCAAAAGAGCCTTAATATGCAGCTGTGTAAAAGGACGACAGAAACGAGTTGCCGAATCACAAAGAAAATGGTGCCCTACGGTGGACAAAAGTGTTATGGAATGGGGCATGTACCCAATGTGATTCCGCTGGCTACAACCCTGGATACAAGTAAAGTTACATGCAGTAGTACTTTTTAAAGCTTTTTCAGTAGTGCAATGTTTCAAGATGTGAGACTGGGCTAAGCAACATAGGCGGCAGTGCAAATATGGTCCACACACTATTAAACTATAGAGCTTAAGCCCCCACCCCCCAAAAAACACATGCTATGCATGATTTCATAGTGGAGGGGTATACATTAGTTACAGCCTCCAGTGGTTGTGCTTAGGTCATAAATAGAGACCAGATTATAGGCAAATGCCTATTTTGTTTCTTGCATTCCTATTATGCCACTTCGATATAAGCATATTAGAGGTTAACAAGAGCCCTTATAGTACTTTTATATTGCCTATAAACGCATATTTTTGATGTTTCTGCCTAAAGTTCTATAAGTGCCTATTATAAAAATTGGTGCCTATATGAATGCTATTTAACCTTGAACTTAGCTTTCAAGTACAGCTAGAGACTGGTATGCATGTTACCGGGAAAAATTGAGCTTTTGGAATTTTATGGGGTGCAACCTATACTACGTGCAGACATCGCACCGTCACTCCATCAGAACCTCTCATAATAAACACATCAGGCCTTATCAGGCCAAATGTGACACGTTTACATATTCTTTTTTTCCATGAAGTGAAATTGTTGAATGCCGATCTGTGGATGAATTTATTGCAAAACTGGAATTCTTTCTTGATTGTACATAGGCATGTACTTCATGAGGTAAATGTTTCCAGAAGCTTGTCAAATGTATGGTGCTTCTTGATGTGTGACCCTATTTCAGCATTTATTTTTTCGTTGTTCTTGATTTATTACTGAAGCATTATCTACTGAGGCATTCTGTGTTCGTTTTTCATTTTAGTATGGCCATGCTCATGTATACTTTTTTTAACCACTTCCTGTATGGGCCTGTACAAAGGCCTATGGTATTGTTAAATAAATAAAATAAAAAATAAATATCTCACAAGTTTCTTTAAGCACTGTCAACGCTACAAGGGCTCTTGGCAAACAGGAAGGCCGATTAGCCTTAACACATGTATTCATCCACGTCGCGTCATCTGCTCAGCATCTACTCAGTGTCTGCTCGCATGCGTAGGGAACAGGAAATGCTTCTATCCAGCCGCAAGACGATCCAGTGTTATCAATAGAAAGTATAGTGTAGATGAAAAATAGAAGATGTCCACGTGACTTTCGTTTTGTTTGTCATTTACTTCTTAAACGGCACTCCCCTAGAACACGTGGAAAACTTTACTTAGGCACTGAAAGCGAGCCCAATGAAAAGCTTTGTACCACTACAGGTTTTCCCGCTCATTTTAATCGAAGTGCCAGATTAAATAATCCGCATGCCATTAAAACAATCTGAGCACGAAGCTATTAATTCCGTGTGCCAAACATTTATTCAAAGTGCCAACTCAGTTAGGCCACATGTCAGTGAGTTTAATTTAAGAGCCAACATGTTTAATTAAATTGCCAACGGCTTTAATTAAGGTGCCAGCCAGTTTAATCCATGCACAAGAAGCAGAATACGGGGCATAAATACGGCAGTACAATTGAAATGGAGTTTCTACAATATATAAGATAATAGTTGCAAAGTAGAACAAATCCTTATTATTTGTATTCGCCGCTAGTATTTGTTAAAAAAAAATTACTGTCGTTTTTCGCGTGAGCAGTGTTTGTACTTTGCTATTTACAAGTTTGTAGGCCCGTGCTTCGATCGGGCAAAATAATTTTAATGGCAATGAAATAAAAAGCAGGAACATGTTAACGAATATTTTGTGTTCATCACTAAAGCTCATAATTGGATTTGTATAGCATTACATGACCGCTCATAATTGGATTTGTATAGCACTACATGACCGGAACAGGTCACGTAATGCAAAGGGCAGACAAATGTTATTTGAGTGCCAGAATGCATACCAAGATAAGGAAAACCTGGCTGTTGGCAGCGAAGGGTCAAAAGCAGGTACATAATCAAGAAATTTGGAGGCCCTCACAAGGAAGGGTGAATTAGAGATAATTCGAAGATGTTTTCATCCTGCAGTGCACATGAAACACTAACTCATGATCCTGACGACGACAACAGAAGTCAAGTTTTACATTCATATTAGCTGTTATTTTTTATTCAAATAAAATTATGTGTATCCAATGAAACACGCGTGTTTCAAGCAAACACACTTCCACAACAATAGCGTAGTCTGTTACATGAAATCAGGAGTGCCTCCTTTGATGCTTTTATTAAAAAGCTTAAGTCCACCTAAACCCAAATAAATGCAACTTTAGTTTTTTTAATGGTTATTTCTGATTTCAAGAACGGATGAATGACATGTGTCAGTCACCATTATTCTCACCGCGCTGAGCAGACGCCTGCGAATGCCTCAGCGAATAAGCAGCCAAATGCCATTTGCTGAGCAGGTGACATGAGTCTCTGCATATGCGATGGCGTAGAAGATAAGCAGGAATAATGCCGTAGCGATGAAGCATATAGACCAACATGGACTCTGTGAATTAATGCATTTAGAACCCGTAAATGCAAATAATACACACTGTTTTTGAATTTGAAGTTATGACACGAAAACCTTGGGGGGATACACCACTGGACCTCATTTCATATGTGCTACCATGTATAGGCGAGCGAAAAGTTTTTCCTGTCACTTCATGTTGTAGTGTACACGTATCCTGAAGGAGTACGGCCACTAACGTGGGTCCGGTTATAGCGAGCCGCACGGCACACGTTAACTGTCGCCGGGGCTAGAAAATGGTACTGCTCAAGGTCCCAACATTTTATTGCCTGCGGCAACACGAAAAAGGCAGTACAGAGCCCGCAGCAAATAGGGTGGCAGGAAAGCAAATGGGCTTGTCCACGCCACGGGCGAGAAGCACTACACAGGGTGCCGCGAGCACGTCTCCATGGGCAAAAGTGATTCACGGTGACACCGAGACAACAGAGCACAATCGTTCGAGCGAAGGCAAAACTCTGCTCGCATCGGCTTCGAAAGATACGAGTGGGCGTAGTACGACCACAGGCAAAGACACTGCACTGCTCTTCGGCCTAGCGTTTGAACGGGGCAACAGAAGGTGAGTGTTTGCCACGGGAGCAAGGCGCCGTTGGCGAAGTCTGACGAGCCCCAAACAATAGGAGCCGACGGACGGAAAAGAAATGCGTGCTCGCCCTAAGCTGTCTCAAAAAAATCTGACTCACTCCCGACGCACTGTGCGAAACGTCCTGAGAGACTTCGCGCACGGCGCCACAGTCGACATGCGCTACCGTGTGAGAAGGGTTAATACTCACTGCAGCTCCTCCAGAGCGACGGACCGAGGAGGAGGGAAGAGTCATGTCAAGACATGAGAACGGCAGAAATAGGCGGCGGGCTAGCCTCAATTTCCGCAATGTTTACATAATTCCGACATTTAGACTATATAAAGTGGCAAACGATGTGTTTCTGGTGCATGAATTAAACTGACCAGCTCCTGAATTAAAGCCATTAACAATTTAATTAAACATGGTTGCACTTAGATTAAACTCACTGGCACGCGGCCTAACTGAGTTCACACTTGGATTAAGTATGTTGGCATTTGAATTAAATGTTTGGCACATGGAATAAATAACATGGCGCTCAGATTATTTCTATAGCGTGTGGATTATTTAAGCTGGCCCTTCGATTAAAGTGAGCGGGAAAACCTGTAGAATTTTTATAACTGGTTTATTACAAGCCACAAAAGCATGATGCGAGGAGGTGAATGTGAAACCTTTGCCAATCGTACGGTGTAGACTTCACAAGTCAAACTCCTTCCCTGCCCTCTTCAGTATCGGAGCAACTTGGAGCCGGAAGATCACAAGATGCAGACGCATCAACACTTCATGCGCACGCAAGGTTACATTCGCATGACATGCCCATGCCAGGTCATGCACACAGGTGGTGGTGTGTCATTTGAACATCCTCTGTATTGTACTAACTGTTTCTGTGGGATGTATTTCTCTATGCGCACACACTTGGAGAGGCTGGCATGGGATCATGTATCCTTACCACGATACACAGCATCGTACCCCTGGAACTGCTCTAAAAGACCACGCATCAAAAACATACCCAGTGCTGTGAATGCTGGCACCAGAACGATATAAGAACAATGAGAACAACGAACGCAAACAGCTTAATCTCGCATCTCGCTCGATATGGAGTAAACAAAATAACGCGCATAGATTCCGTTTGTATGTTTTAATATTTTTTCAACCTTCATACTTCTATTCAGGCAACAGATTGCACAAATTACACACGTCACCTCGAATTATTTTCACAGTGTCACATACTACTTTGATCTATGCAGGACCATTCTTTTTGTACGACACCTCCACCACATTCCTCTTTCCAGGGCGCATAGCATTTCAACTGAATCTTGGCTGATGAGATCTTGAGCGCCCAGTGCACCCATTCCTCTTGCCTGTTCAAAATTCTCAAACCTGGTGGAGGGCCCTATAGGGTGTTCACAGACAGACCAGAAATTGACCTTGTGCCTTTAGACCAAGTTAACACGAGGAAAAAAAAAAGAACTCTTCGGGCCTATTACCGCTCTAGCTGTGTCGCCTTTCTCAGTCATGGCGAAAACGAAGGGACCCAGGGGCGTGTTTAGTCAACGGTAGATGCTAAACTCACTACTCTGGACTAGAAAACTATAAACCGTATTCTGCACACCCTGCCGGAAAAAAATTTGCATGGCTATGCCAAACAACTGACACTCTTGTAAAAACAAACACTAAAACATTTGTTTGCTTTCAAGTCATAGACAGATCCCACACGCATTTGTTCGAAAATATGAATTTTGTCAAAGTTTATTGTGCCTATATTAACGATTTGGGGGGCCTAAAATCGTGTTTTGCCCGCCTATTTTTGGCGCCTAGAAAAACTAGAATTGCAAAACCTGAATTGCACAAGGTCTTACCACGCTTATGCACTTTAGCACCAATTGCTCATGTCATTTGTACTTAATTAGGATCAGCAGTAAATAAATAAGTTTTATTATAACGAGACTCACCCATAAGCTCGGCAAATCCACCAACAGGTACACGGCATGTGCCTGTGACAAATTGTAGTAGACGTGCTCGTTTTTCATTGTCCATATCTCGGATAAACTGCCAGAACCAAATAACCTGTTTACTGTTACGAGTGTAGTGCCGGTAGATGCTGTTTCGCTGCCAGTCATCAATGTCTATTTCTTGCATTCCACAGAGCATTAACTATGGGGTGAATGGAAAAGAAAAAGAAAACAGGAAAATGATGCATCGCAGTATACTGTACTCATCAGGAATTCGCAATTTCTAGATGAACTGAGTGTACTATAAGAGATCATTCCTCCATGACAGGCTACCACCAACTGTGAATAATCATTCAAATTCTATCACAAGCAATAACTTATTCACCAAGCTTTTTAGAAGTGGGTAACTATTAATATTAATGTGATGAGGACATGTCTCAAGAGAGAGGATTGCAGAAAACATAATAAATGATCATAAGATAACCCAAAGAAAAATAAAAAATAAATATTAAAAAGTTTGTGACAGTCAGAGTGGTGGCGTCTTTGCACATGAACTGTATGTCGAATCTTAAATACTTTGCTGCAGCTAACATGAAGCATACATGACTGAACAAAAATGTATAAATATACTTTTTAATTATTGACTTAAGGACAGCTATTAGAAAGTTGAAGTGCATGCCAAATAATGGCATAACGAAGAAATATCAAGGACGCAATCCACACAGATGAAAAAAGAAAGCGTGAATCCTGCATGTGCGCGCCGGACCTTTCAAATATTCGCATACTTCGAAGGAACAAAACGACATTGGTACATGAACTTTTAGAGGCATATTTTATCAATGCTAAGCGAGATATGTTTGTCAGTGACACGCCTGTCACCCAGCTTAAATCTAAAGCACAACTTTTTGATGTCTTGCTTTCACGATATGTAAAGCGTGGAATTGTTCGCCCATGTCCTGTGAAACTGATTACGCACATGTTTGCATGCATATAAAAAGGAGCTTCTTTTCAAATAAAGTTAGTTGCAAGTTGACACCCTATCATGTCCCCCCCCCCCCCTTTTATTTATGTGGATTGCGTCCTTAATATTTCTTTTTATAAATGGCTTTGCCATTTGTAAAAATGGCATGGCCACTTTTTATAAATCACAAAAGCTATACATAATACGGAATACCTATCATTAAACTTCAAAGGGACTGTACACCGCTGTCTACCTTCAATTTGCACTAAGTCGCACAAAGAGTGGCACAGCAAAGCATGGGCCTGTTGCCGTTCATACTCCCCATCGACCGACACATCTAGCTTTGATATGCACAGGAGTACACACCATGACTATATGAGCACAATCAGGAACAGCCAGGCTATGCATTATAGGGCGAATGTTGAGTGGATCAGCTACTGCACATGTGCGACTTGACCAGGTGGTTTGGTATCTGATCGCTAAACAATACGGTTGTCCGCTTCTCTTAGTCACGCCAGCCATAGTGGTGAGTAGTGGAATTTCCTAAAACTCTGTGGCACATACTCGTAAATGACGATGGTAGTTTTTAGGCACGGCCACACATTTTACGTAAAGCTAGAACAGCTTCGCCATTAAAAAGTACATTCAGTTTACGCTCATTATAATGGACCCGAATACAAGTGACTATCAGATACAGTGAACCATTATTCAGCATGAGCTTGGTTTGTGCATAAAGTTAATGCAGCAAAGTTTGCTTTTAACGGACCATGATACAACAGCCTATCCCTATCGGCTACAGTGGACTAAATTAGCGGAATTTTTCTTGGAAATAGGGCGCATAGAGCCTACTCTTGCCGTGTTGACACAGATGGACAACAGACTTGACCATGCCAATCTCTGCATCCTGCCACGGCAGCTTCAAATTGCGGCTGGCAAATTTGATGGCTTCCGGCCAAACCAAGCCTCCAGCCAAACCAGTTTAAGAGGATGTTGGTCACGGCAGCCAATGGCTTAAGTCATGGAGGAAGGAATACTTTCTTTCCTCCATGGTTCAACAGTTGCAGCTGACTGAAATGCGGCGCAAAGTGATTGCACCATCGCTTAAGGGTGCACGCCAATCCTCTATAACTTTTTTTTTTTTTTTTTTCAATTAAATGTATGAAATGAGGCGTTGGTGCCAATGTGTGGCGCCGGCTACTCCTCTTCTCTTGCTACTCTTCTCTTGCTACTCTTCTCTGTTTTACACAATATTAATAAGATCTAACAGACAATAATGCCAAGAAAAGTATAGGGGAAGATATTAGACCGAATTGTTATGTAAATATGAAGAAAAGTGCGTGAAAAGATAACTTGCCAGATCCTGCCCACAACAAGTTATCTTTTCACCCACTTTTCTTCATATTTACATTACAATTCGGTCTAATATCTTCCCCTATACTTTCCTTGACATTATTGTCTGTTAGATCTCATTAACATTGTGTAAAACACAGAAAAACGAGCCCTTAAGTATACACTTCTTTCCTTAATTCATTAAGGAGGGTCTCTTACTGACAGACTCAGTGCCTTTAGGTTGTATACGAGAGACTATTGGTCAGCTGCCCACTCGTAATAAGTTCACGTGCTACGCGACGCCAAATAGGCTCAAAAGAGTGTGCTACACTCGCCGCCATGGCTACTGGTGGCGCTGGCTGAGTGGCTGGGGGGATAGCTGTCGTGGTAGCTCAGTGGTAGAGCATCGAACGCGTCATTCGAAGGTTGCAGGTTCGGATCCTGCCCACGACAAGTTATCTTTTCACCCACTTTTTTTTACAATTCGGTCTAATATCTTCCCCTATACTTTCCTTGGCATTATTGTCTGTTAGATCTCATATTATATATATATATATATATATATATATATATATATGTCGAGGCTCAACTGGAAATGTTTTACGATTGCGTCTAAAGAGCACAAGGTAGCTGTGAAAAGGCTGAAAGTGTGCAGTCTTCAAGCACCTTGTCGCTGATAATGCGCTGCCGCTAGCCATTGTCGATCGCATGAGGTGAAGATCCGAGCCTCGCTCTTCAAATAAGGACGGTTTCTCGCACTGCTGCAGCGCAAGAAGTAACAAAAAGAAGCACGCTTTTGCCACGTTTCTTGAGCGCCGCGACTAGTTTTTAAATTGCGCAGTACATATTAGGGACTGCCACTAGCCGCTGCGAGCTTGTACATGCTGTGAAGCCTACTTGCAGGGTCCGTGTGTCGTTGAGCAGCGCAGCTGAACAATGCTTTTCTCATGTGTTTATCTCCACTATGGATGAAAAAATCAGTAGCTTGCATGATAACTACACTGTCAATGTGAAAGTTGTTGCGATGGTGCGCTCTGTAGGAATGGGCTACGAGCAACTGGTTTGATTTGCGGCAATTCTTGTCATGCAAAAGCCAAGGCATCATATGTAATTCACAGTCATCAGCTGGAAAGTCCGTGATGCGGCAATAGATTCTATCTGCGCCAATCTTGCGAGGTCGAGGGAGCTCACAGTGAGGGAAGTTGGCGGGGATGACAGTAATGTTATGTAGGACGGTACATGGCACCAACGCATCCACATAAGCTACAATGGCATCGGCACTGTTGCTTCCCTCAAAACTTATCTTTGTTTATATTTCAAAGTCCTGCTGAACTTCTGCCTAGCTTGCAGTCGGCACAAGGCTCAAGGCTCAGCCAGATGAAGCGGTTTGGCAAGCGTTTCATGACCCTGTCTGTGAGCGACATGTCTGTGAGGAGTCGGCCCAAAAGAGCCGCCAGGTACAAACTTATGATGCTAGTGCATTTAGTGGCCGTGGCCAGTACAAAAAAAAATTTTCTTTTTTGTGTGCCAATTTCATTACATTTATTGATATTTTTCATAAATAAACATTCAGTTTTATTAACTTTCAATCTCGTTTTTCTCAGAACACAAATTCTTCCATTTTTTTCAATGTGCTTCTCCTCCTTTTTCTGGTACTCCTGGTGCTCAGATCTGCACGATATATTACCCATTTTTTTTTTTCCAAAGTATGAGAAATGCAATTATAGTGTTTAAATTTAATTTTTTATTATATAATGACATATTCTATGTAAACCTAGATATGGGTTTTCATGTCTATTACATATTTTATATGCACTTTCTAATTAGTTGTTCGCATTCTACACCTTATTAGTTTAGTGATGAAAAAAGAGGGGGCACAAAAGACATAACGTTTTCACTTCGTCATGTTGCAAAGCTGAAAGCATACAACTTGCAAGAAAACTAATAATTGAAATTGACATGAAAATTTATATAAACAGCTCAAGTTTCATTGCTGTAGGGTGAATATTAAATTATAGTGTCTTCAAGTAGCATGTCCTCTAAAAATACTACACTGCCCCAAGGTTTCACAAATATATTGTAGTGAATATTGTTACAAAACGTACCGGTTAACAATAACACCAATACATTTTCCTTTTTGGTTTAGTACTTTTGAGATATTTCTCATTCCTCCAGAAAGTGCCTAGAACCTAGAACAAGCCTAAGAACAGTTTAATATCAATTTTACAATATCAATTTTACGATGCACGCTGCACAACTGAGCAGGATGCGGAGCCCCTCAAGATGCTGACGTCAACGCGGGGGAATGTATACAAATCTGCGTCACGAGTTTGTGTTGGCCGGTTACTGGCACGCGTCTTGCGCTATCTGCGATTTCCTCCTCTATGGCTGCGGTTTCGCATGTGCTGGCTGGCTGGCTGTCAGTGCGCTGCTTGCTCTCGTGCGCGGTGCCAACATCACAGTTTTGAGTGGTCACATGGGCAGCTGCGTTTACCTTGCCCTCTGAACTCCTCCTGCCTGGCTCAGTGCTCTTTGAAACTGTAACTCGGCACTCTAAAAACGTCTCCAATTAAATACCAGTCATGCACTCATGCAAACGAGGTTTCCAGCCATTATAAGTGGGTGACGAGCTATCTATTGCAACTAAAAAAATTAGATTAAAAATTTTTTGTGTCAGTGCTCCTTTGACCTTATTATAAAGTGCACAGAAGAAATGAGCTACATATATGTCACTAACTGATAATGTCCATCACTATACTACAATATTGCACTGTATGCCATGGAAGACACACAGAAAAAAAGGGGGGGAGGGGGATCTTCAGAGAATGACTTAGTGAAAACTGTGAGCAGCATTTTTTTTATTTATTTTTATTTAAATATACTGCAGATCTTCTCGGTCCAAACAAGAGTGGTAGTACATAAAATGATTAGAATTCTGTTGAAAGTGACGAATGCATTAAAAAAAAAATCAGTTCAATGCTGGATGGTTGTTAACAGTTTCAAAGACAAAGTGTTTAGATCACATCCAAGCATAATATAAAGATGTAATACACTAACTAGAACAAAAAATATTGCAGATTCCTTGAGCGAAAAATTCTACCATGTCACAGTTCACTGTAGATGATAGTAGACTATTCCAGTATGCTATTGATGATGAAAAAACAGTTTTTACGAATGTCGTGACATTTAGGCAGTCATATTGCCTTGTTGTGGTTAGTTCTTGAGGAATGTCTGAAAGGTTCAAGGAGATGTTCTGTTCCAGATATTTTATAATACTCATGATATAAATGATACAGAAATTTGAGTTTGGAAATTATTCTGTGTTGATCAAGAAAACCACTTCGGCTTTTTTACGCAGAGCTGTATAACACAAATTGGACCACTAAATTTTGGACTCGCTCAATTTCACAAGGCAATAAGTGCGATAACAGAAATTAAGCCTTTCATGACGTTACATGGTGAAAAACTGTAGCGAAATTCCCAATATCTTCATTGCCGCTAATTTGAGAGACTCAAAAAACTTATTTACCATGACTCGTGCAATTTGAGCTCATGTGTATCATGTCAACGGCTGATATTCCATAACAGGAGGAAAAAATGATGCACAGAAAGGCACTATAAAAAACAACATACTGGAAAGTATTAGTTCTGCTTCATGCACATGAAAGAATTGCTTTATGCTGCTGCATATAATATGCCAAAAGAATCTGCACTTTTTTTTTGCAACATTTAGGCACAATTCAACATAGCAAAAAAAGTGGCATACCTCAAGTTCCCGCTCATCGAAGTAATGAAGCCATTCCAAAGGCAGGACTTCATTAAAGCCATCCAAAAATGACTTTGTCTGCTCTTCCTGGCCCCGTGAGAATCGCCAATCTGTCATCAACCTGTTCATAAGATCAGAATTCTTGAATAGACCCACCTCATTTAAGATGGTCCACAAGAAACACGTACCTCAGGTACTCATCTTTGTTTTCATCAGTAACTCTGATTTCTCCTCCACCAGTCTTCAGTTCATGTGACTGGATCTGCCCTAGCACCTCGAAGTCAACACTGAAGTAAAGTTCAAGTGAACACTCTTCAATATTGTTTTCTCTGAAAAAGATCACAAAGAGAGAGATAGAAACATATTAAAATCATGTTCAGAAGCCTGAGCAACCACTAAAGCACTCACTTGATCCAGATAAGAGAATTATAAAACTCATTGTCTATGGACTCTATGTCCTTCATGGTGAGCTTTTTGCCAAGCATACGCTTATAGAAGGGAAGAGTGAATCCACTGTATATAAATTTCCCGTGGAAAAGAGCCTGTCAAAAAGTACAAGTAATGAAGGTGTTAGCTACTTCATGAGATATTATAAATTTTATTTTTCTACTTTTAAAAATACTATTTGCCTATTTACCATCGCAATAAACCTTCCGATGAACCGAAAGTACAGCAGATGGTCAGGATTCACAGAGCTTGCAGGGTTTATCTGCAGGCTGTAGTTGTTCTTTCCCGCATATTCAAACAAGCAGTACATGGGGTTGAGGACCTCATGTGACAGCAGGAAAAACCACTCTCTGCAAACAGAAAACACAAATTTAGCTTTCTCCAAAAATACAAAGTTTGTAACAAAATTCACCTGGCTATTCCTCCATAATCAAGGCCTTCTTCCCCCTTGAATGTGATGAAGAGCCTTCTTCGCAGTTCATGCGGTGGAACCCGCATAATCTATGAAATATGATGGCTAGTAAGTACAAGGCAGTAACAAAGCAACGTTCACATGCAATTCATTTAGAAATTAAACTGTATTAAAACAACAAGTTTAGTACTATAATTTTTATTTTTTTCACAACATGGAGTATACTAGGTTTGCCTTATATATGGTACGAGAGTAAAAAGAAAGATAGTAAAGAGAAAGAGAGGTACATGATAGATATAATAGTGTGTTTCCATACAACTAGCCACTCAATCAGCATCAACAGCCCATCCCACTAAACGTCAGTCTACAAATATAGTCACTTAGCTGTTTACACCTGCACAATTATTCGAACTTCTCTACAGCACCATTAACAATAACAGAGATAGCACTCATGTACAATATTAACCAAACTTTGGATACTGCATTTCATTTCAGCCACGAATAACGGGGGCAATATCTCAACTTTGATTTTTTTACTTCCGGCTAAGTGGGCAGTAACATGCTTTCATCCGAAGCTTGCAGTGAATATGTTCACTCTCTCATAATACATGGGCACTGCCCCGCAATAGTGGTCTAGTGGCTAAGGCACTCGGCTGCTGACCCGCAGGTCGCGGGTTCGAATCCCGGCTGCGGCGGCTGCATTTCTAATGGAGGTGGAAATGTTGTAGGCCCGTGTGCTCAGATTTGGGTGCACGTTAAAGAACCCCAGGTGGTCGAAATTTCCAGAGCCCTCCACCACGGCGTCTCTCATAATAATATGGTGGTTTTGGGATGTTAAACCCCACATATCAATCAATCAATTATTACATGGGCACTCGTGAACTGTTGTGTAACTCCTTTGTTTTTATGTGAATATATATACACTCAGTAACACATGGTCTCATGCTTTTTACCTTAATGAAACTTTTAATGAATGCAGCACAGCGACCCCCTTAACATCAAAGAAATAATTTTGTCCCCAGTAAGCTACAGATACAGAAAGGGAGGAGATGCACCATGAATATAAAACATCTGCTGCTAACACAAAAATAAATTTTAACAACATTGGAAGTTGTGCAACAGCACAGTACATTCATAACATGCATTCTTAAAAACAGTTTTTGCTCATAACACTTCACCATGCCTCAGGAAAGACCACTGTGCCGCAAAACGTCCAGCACACAGCTGCTGTAGCTTTGTTTGTGCTAGTGCATCTCTGCCCATTGTTACTATAGTGCACTTTATTTGGAGGAATTATGACACCTGAAACTTCAATCATAAGAGTGAGCTACACAGATAATGCCAGCACAACGTGAAATTGTGGTCACCAGAGCTCAGGTTCGACAAAATTGATTCTTTTCTTACATAAGTGATATAAGCCTTTTTCCTACTGCTGCTTTATGCTTTATTTGAACGTTTCTCCAGTATTTGACAAAAGAAGCTTTTGGTAACCTTACCCAAGAGGCCAAATTTTAATAAAATGAAATATTGATGGTCAAAGAAAACTGTGAATTATACAGACTTCTTTATATTGACATTGACTGTACAAGTGGCCATTCATTAAAAAAAGAACTACCATGCTTTTTTCAAGAGTAAAAAAGGCCTCCCAGGTCAATATGTACTACTGCCGTCAAATGTAGCGCGAACAGCAGAGCATGAGAAACAAGCATTATCAAGGCTACCGTGCACGCTCTAGTCATCACCAATCACGAGTGACAGGTGTGCACATCCGGTTTAGCAGCGCTTCACTGCCACCCCCCCCCCCCCTTCCTTATTTGTCGGTGTTCTTGTTCTGATATGGTGATATGATGAAACAGTCAAATTCTGTTACAACGAAACTGACGAGACGCGCAAATAAACTCGCAGTCGTGAAATTACGTTATAGTAAAATTGCATCTATAGACCAAGAAATTCAGCCTAATTTGATGGACACGTTCTTAGGTCCTAGACCGTATGCACTGACCGCTCGCTAACTCGGAGGTACTTGGTCGCACACCGAGTGAACATATATTCTCACAAACAACATGCACAAACATATAAAAAATATGAAGCTAAACTCACAATGTCAGTTTATACCAGAATTTCATTGCTGCCTTCACAGCTGCCTACCTTCGAAGCGTATTCGCTATTGATGAATGTGACGATAGCGACCGCGGTTTCCTAAGCAGCAGTTGCGGCACACAGTAGTTTCATTTTCAGTCTGTGTGCACTGCCAGTGCTAATGCCTTCAGAACTGCATAGTTGCTACATGTGATCTCATTGATACATTTTTTTCCGCAGTGCTGCTACAAGCCACATTGGCTTGAGTCTGTGCACATTGGATGTGCCGTGGTCACTTATGATCGCGTCAGCATAACCCCATTTGGTTTCGCCACAGTTGCAGGAGAATATAGTTGCATTTAGGCTACGTGCACGCAGGCCGCGCGTGCCTTCCTAATGCCGTGGTTGTCATTCACAATCACTGGGCTAGTGACGATGAGCAGTAGTTTTGTTTTGAGCACTGCGCCAAAAACATGGTGGGAGTTCTTGAACGGTTTTACAGCAGCCCGCATGTGCACCATACCCACCGGCAGCATCATAGTAAATGGGCAATCTGTGGCCGAGCACCTCAATGATGAAAAATTTACCGGGATGTGTGTGTGGCGGCATAAAGCATGCCTCGGATGAAGACATGGGTGTTGCGATGCGGCTGCACCGCTTGAGAAGCTCATAAATGGCAGAGTTGGTAGTGGAATTTTGCTGCAATCCTAGGCAAGTTCCTTTTGCTTATATGGTAGCATTACTCGTGAAAACTTCATGGAAGCGGAAGCATCCCAGAAAAGTATTCACCATGATGAGACATTCTTCACATTATTTTCCGTGGGCGGCTGACGGGTAATTAAAAATTATTCGTTGAGGCAAAAATTTCGTTGTAGCACACTTCATTATAAAAGGATTTGACGGTAATGATGGTCGGCACTGACGTGCCGAGCACGTTTGGTTGCTTCACTTTTACTTCCCTTTATTTCTTGTATGTTTAGTTCACTTCAAATATCAGAATAAGAACAGACACAAAAATATCGAATTGTAAGGAGACCATGAAGTGCTGCCAAAACAGATGCACATGCCTGTGAATGGCGATGACTGGATTGCGCTCATTGTACCTTTGCTAAAGCTTGATTCACACGTTCTGCTGTTTGCATTTAGTTTGATGCCGATAGTATGTTCCACAGGACGGTGCGAATATAAAAGTAGTAATAAACAAATCTTCATGCACTCATTGCGACTTTAGAGAAACAAACTTGCAAATTTCTACTTTTCACAATATCAACAGACAGGCTAAGTCGTGTGGAACTTTTAGATAAGCAAGGTATACTTTGTGTTTGAAGTTACTGAAAGATAAAGCAATTTCATAATCTCCTGCGAGTTTGGTAGCTTTAGGTTTGACTCTCTTCTATATGGCAGCGCATGTACAGAGGGAGTCAAAAGTTTCCAAGGTGCGCTCCCATAGGAATAGATGAAATTGTGACCTGGAAACTTTTGACCCCCCCCCCATACATATTATACAGTACAAGCTTGTTAATTTGACTCCAATTAATTCAAGTATTCGGATAATTTGTTTGTGTCCCATGGTCCCGCTTGGCCATGATATAAATTGTTTAATAGATTCAACCTCCTGTTAATTTAGTTACAATTGGTCACAACTCACTTATTTTGAATGATCCTTGGAGCGCACCAAGCGTCGCAAGTATGTGGTGCAAATGAGCCAAGACGATGTTCACTGTCAACTTAAACTAGGCAGCGCAGTGTGCACCACCATCGTCATCATTGCGAACTGAACGGTAACGACAGGAAAGCCACAACACGTCATGCTGATTTACGTTTACCACTACGCGTGACACCACACCGGCCGATGTTCAAAAAAGCGACGTCGCCATCCACAGTAGTGTTGTTGGCGACTGAGGCTTCAACCAGTTACAGAATATTCCTTTCAATTACTGGCAAAAAAAGTACCGCCATGTGTGCGTTGTAGTGGTGGTGCAGTACAGATGCAGAGCCTATTTCAGGCTAATTAAGACGTCAGGGTGGCATTGTAGAACAAGTTGGTGGATGACAAAAAGCGCAGCTTTTATGCTGTCCTACATAAAATAAGTACAGAAGACTTGAACAGAACCTGAAGAGGCCAGAAAATACATTTCGTTTAACGTTGGACAAGCCGACTTGCGATTAAAAGTGCACTAATGCAATGCAGACCGCTAGAGCGTAATTTCATTTCAAAATAAGCATCTCCTTGTCACGGAAGCAGCAGTACAAGGTTTATGAACCACCGTTTCAACGATCAACGTTGACTTAATATTTGCCTTTAGTGTCCTTTTAGCACGCAATAACATCACAAAGTACAAAGACTTCAAGCACTTCACCTCTATCAAAATGTGACTGCCTTACCCGAGACAGCGCGACTGCCTTACCCGAGATAGAACCTGCGACCTTCGAGTCAGCAGACAAGCACACCACTGCTCCACCGTGGCAGATGTGTAATAGACATTCCTCTATTGTTTTTTCAATACATTTGATAATTTGAAATTAGGACAATTTTTCCAGTACTATGAAATCCTGAATTAATGAGCATTTACTGCACTGTTGCAGTGCTTTATATTAGCATGACGTGATGATGACGGGCCATCGGAACTTGCGAGAGTCCTTTTGCTGTCTCTTGAGCTGCAACCCCACAGACGTTTTTTTTTGCGTAGAACTGACAGCAATTTGTTTTCCCAATATTGGCGTGTATGTTCATAGTAAAGTTATTTTTGTGAGTAGTGCGACATTGTTATAATGATGTTTGAATGTACGAAGTTACTAAATTACCTTCTCATTAATACTACTCAGAGCAATAACAAAATTTTATTAATGGGTTGTAACATCATAATACTTGAACTGAAAAGCACAGCTATAGCAGTCAAAACAGGAACATGTAATCTAATACAATGGTACATATCACTCTCACAGCCATTAAGGCATATGCTGTGAACAAATAAGCAATGAAACTCACTTGGCCAAAAGAATCTTCAAATATGTTTCCTCGGGAGACTGTTATCTTGATGTGGCTGGGCAAGGAGTTGCACTGTAGAAGAACAAGAGAGGAACAGTGTGGATGGTGTCCTATAGTGTTTAAGGTGTACATTAGTTACTTTCATTTGTTAATGAGATATAATAGGAAAGTTGGCCAGAAACTTACGTGGCACAAGTAACGGAACTGCGTCAGCTTCCACTTGAAATTTCGTTCATAAGCTAATGGCACTCCATAGGCTCCCTTTGGACTACAAAACAAAAAACACAATGTAAACATTCGACAGAAGTCTGTCTGGTTGGGTATGAAACTGGGAGATGATTTAGACTCCAACCAAAAGTTTTGAAGAAGCCCGACGTTTCGAAACCGACTCTTGGTTCCCTCCTCTGTGGATAATGACCCCCCTCTCTCTCCTCTCGTTTTGCCGTGGAGCGCAGTCTGTGTGTATACACTGGGGGAAGGGTTCAGAGAGAGCGGTTGATGTTATAGGCTGTCCTCTGTATGTGCCACGACTCGAGTAACAACCTTCTCCTCCAGTTTGGCTTGCTTTCAAGAATGGCTGTCGCTTCGAAATTGATCTGGTGATCCAACGCCTCAGCATGTTCGGCGACTGCACTACGCTCTTTGTAGAACTTTCACACATCGTTGGCATGTTGCTTCAGTCATTATCCACCCCGCGAGTGCTTTGAAGACGCCGCTGCTACGTAGCCTCCGCAGTCACCCCTGAGGAAGGAACCAAGTCGGTTTCGAAACGTCGAATTTTTTCAAAACTTTTGGTTGGAGCCTAAATCATCTCCCAAAAAACACAATGTTCTCAGACTGGGAATCACTTGGTACAGCAATTGTAGCAGGTAATAACCGAAACAATGCCTTCATACATGTTAAAAATAAATAGTAAGGAGAGAAATTCTAGAAGGCAGTCAAAAGGCCTACAATGTTAACATTACACAGCTGTGCCTAAAGCATGTGAGATTTGGTGCTGCAAACAATACGTTATAGTCAGATTTTATTCCTTTTAAATCAGAGTAAGCTCTTTTCATGATCTTAACATATATGCAAATTTCAATTGGTGTAAATAGTTCTACTTTCTAACATTTTCCCAGCATTAAACAATTGTTGCATGCATTGTGGCACAGTATGAGGTGGACTGTGCAATTGTGGAAAGGATCTAGCCGGATGACAAATTTTAAAACAGTACTGAAAAAAATTGTGATTCTGCTGATCTAAGCCAGTTTTCCTTGGTACCAGAAAAGAGAATGTGCGGAAGCCAGTGCTTCCACTAACTCAAACTCCTCAAGCATACCAGAGAGCACAGTTTAACCAGCTGCAGCCTAGTTAGCCACAAGTTGCAAAAACCCATTAACTATTTCACCGTCGTTACCAAACAGGCATGTTTCTTCATTTTTTCCTACAATGTCACTTATGCACTGGTCCGTTTTCTGTCATGCGTTCACAACTTCATGCAAAAGTGGAAAGCTGGCATAATTTAGTAATATTATACTGGTAGTGCCATCTGTTGAATCCTTCTAGAAGCCCCTATTTTAGCTACCTGCAGTGTTGCTATGTCTATTAAAAAAGTGCAGAGCAATCGCAACCATCCTTCTAGGCTGAGGGTATGGTAGCTAGAAGTGCACATTACTCTTTTGAGCTGAAAAACCATGCAGCACTTGTGCAACTATGTGCACAAGGGTTGTTCTGTCATCTGCAGCAGGTTCTATTTTTGTATTCTTTTGGAACATATGCTAAGGCACATCAAGTTCAAGGAGCGTGCATTGTTGCCTCTCCTGTTGATCGAAATACAACTCAATGCTTTCAATCACCCTTCCCTGCCTCATTTGCCATCAGCAGTAAACAAGGCTGTTGTATCTGCTTTCCATCCATATCTCTCATTTCGACTTCACAACCTGCCATTTCACTGTGTTTCAATCTTCCCTGACATTTCAAAAACCAAGCTCACACCAAGGGTGTGTCGCAGCCAGAAACCTCCAAGAGTGAAAGGATTGAACAGGGTTTCTCAAACTGAGTTCCATGTTGTACACAACGAAGACATTGCACGCTGCATCCAACCAGAAGGAGTCTGCAAGCAGTGCCAGACCATGTGACAGCAGTGGTAGGACTCCTTTATCATAATGCGCACCTTGAAATTAATGCGATTCATGGACTCGTGGTGGACAGTGAATGCTTCCGATTAGTGCTGTGTGCAATGCATTAGCTGGAAACATTTTCTGTATTATGTAGACTATTTTACCTAAGAGATTTGGGTGCTGCCATCTTGGGCTGTTAAGCTGGTGTTTCTTTGTATTTGCATATCGTGACGTGAATTAATAATGCCATAAAACAATATGAAAACATTGTTCATTTAGCAGTTAAAGATGCAAAGCACAAAGGTTAACAGCCCAACATGCCCGCACTCAAACCCAACCGTAAAATAGTCCACAACACATCTGTGTTCTGTACATGCTGCTTTTGCACATATGCAGGTTTGCCAAGGCACGACATTAGCTTTATAGTCTAAAATGAGCATACAAGGCGGGATGTGTACTAGATGCACTGCATGCTGTTGCAGGTTTTATGAAAATTTAGGATTAGCCTTGTGACCCATTCTGCAACGTAACTGGCATACCTTAATATTGTTTAAAATTTTCTTTTCTCCATGAAATGAAACGAGCTCTTATGTGACCAACAATTTTCACTCAATAAAGATGCCAAATACTGCTCTGCGTAACATGATACAGACATATTTTATGACGCAGAATGCAGAGCCGGGGCTAAAAATCATTAGCCCATTTCATGCATTACCACAAGTTCGTCATCATGAGCGATGGTTTGTAAGGTTAAAGATAATCAATGGATGCGGCAGCAGCGATTTCAAAGAGTTGAAACCGCTGTTGTTGCTCCTCTCCCTTGTACACGACACACTCAGTCTGTTTTGCGAAAGAGAAAATAGCACCCTGCCAAACATCTTAGCTGTGTGAACATAACTAAAGACCCTCCGTCCTTCCCTTTCCCCCCCAACACCAGCAATCCCTAACCCATTAGGCGATAGGAGATCTTGTTATCCAGCCACGCCTTCCCAACTCAGCTTGCACAGATGGACAGGAGCCAGAAGCTGCTGGAAACATATGGGTTCCGAAACTATAGAACCACCCCGTCTAGTGCCTGCACGCACCACCTATATAGTCGGGCTCAATAAAAGTTGATACATTATCATCCTTCTCCATATGCAAAATCACATAGGAAGAGTGGCGGGGTTCCTCAAGATCAGTAAATTTGAAAATTCCTGACCAATAACACTTCCCTCAGCAATGGTGTCAACCAGCTAGCCTGCTGAAGGCAATAATCGTTTAAACAACATGTGTAATTTACAGTCCATTATTTCCTCAGAATGAAATAATGCAGCAGTTGTCAAGCAGGAGCATACCATACTCAAAGTTTTTAGAACCAGTACAGTTTCGCAGCTCCGCTCGCGAGGCGGTACACGCAGCTGACATGTGAACTTACGGCACTGCTGTTCCATTTTGCTTCACTTGCCACAGACCGTGGGATCAGATACAGCAGCACACCATTGCTCTCAACGGCACGTTACCTAAGCTAACAGTGGAAGCGGTGCATATGCCACAGCAAGCTGAGATGTGTGAGCAGTAGCCACTTGCGATGCATTGCACGTTTCTTCGTGCTTGCTTTTTTCATACTGTGCGCATGATTGTTAGCGAACGTGTGAGGCACGATTTAAGATGCAGTCCATCCAGCAAGCGTCTATGGGGAGCTACAAAACTTACCTGTACTAGAAACGTATCACAATTTCTGTTCTAGAAATCTTGATACGTTTCTAGAACATTATTATTGTGTCGAACAAATAAAAAAAAGCCCTTACATTTACCCTTCTTTCCTTCATTCATAACGAGGGTCTCATTCGCAGACTTAATGCCTTCACGTGGTACGCGAATGATTATTGGTCAGCTGCCAGCTTGTAAGAAGATCACATGCTATGTGCCGCCCTCAGGCAGAAAATGAGTGTCCCACGCTAGTCACAATGACAACAGGCGGCGCTGACTGATGCTGCTACGTTTAAATGCACATACATACCCTATAGTGGACGGGGGAATAGCCGCCATGGTAGCTCAGCTGGTAGAGCTATGGATGCGTTATTCGCAGCCTTGTGCGAATATTAGAATGCTTTGAATATTCAAACGAATAGCAAAGCATTTGAATTCGTTTTGATTATAATTTAAATTATCGAATATTTTGAAATATTCTACATGAACGAATAGGTGTATATTAGTCTGCATGTAACCGTTTGTAAAGGTGGTTTCACTGCAATATAGTGATGCTAAGCCGTGAAAGCACTTATTCATGGGAAAATTTGCTCTGCTGCGAAGCCTCACTGCAAATTTAAAGGGGCCCTGCAACACTTTTTGAGCATGGTCAGCAAATGCTGCTGATAGGTAGTCGAGGCAACCGAGAACACGTGAGCTAAATATTATAGCGCAGCACATGACCTGGAATTCACAATAAATTATTAGTCAGATAAAAATTGCTCTCTTCTTTCGGCAAATGGCGCCACAATGCCAAAAACCGCTCATCACAGCCATTGTACCAGCCATTGTAGCAGCCATTGGCCGATTTGAGCATGGGGCGCTCGATCGTGACTGGGGTTGCTGCGGGTGGCCGTGACAAGTCTACGCGTACATCAACAATCGCACTGAAAAGCCGCATAATCAAAGAAAAAAAAAAGAAAGAGAGAGAAAGAGATCAAGGTCACAACAAGGCATATGGCTATTTTCTTTCCCTATGCCATCTCTCCCGGCTTTGCTTCAAGCATTTTTGGCGGGATGAGAAGAGAGAATGCAATTGGAGCATGTGGCAAATGTTTGCAACTCTGCTCATACCTTACAGATTCTTAAAGTGTCTGCAGTGGTTAATTCATAAGGCAATAAGCTTCTTTAGTGAATCCATCCCATGGTTGCTTGAAGAACTGTTGCAGGGTCCCTTTAAATGAACATAATCTCAAATTGATTGATCATTTTTTATGGGGGGGACGGGGGAGGCGGGTATTAGAACGGTAAAAAATGGTAAAAAAATAGACTTTTTGCAAAGCTCATTTTCGGGGTGCTTGTACTTCTGAGCACCTACTCTCAAATTGCTAACACCGAGTTTGGTTGGAAAACGCAATAAAATCAGCTTTCAATGTACCCGGGTCGCACTAAAATGCCCCCAAAAGGACGAAATTTGTTCGAACTTCCCGCGTGCACCATGTGCGTTGTGGCGAACCGAGCGCTGCCATCTTGGGCTTGATTTGAAGCTGTTTTCTTCTAGAACATTTTGCGCCATCTCAAAATGGCGTCGTTCAAGGCTGCTGTCATGGGTTTTCTGAACGTCATTTCCAGATCGCCAATTGGCGCGCCTTTCCGAGTCTCCCATTGGCTCGGGTGACCGCTGCGTCATTTTTTTTCTTTGTGTTGCGTTCGCCGCCGTGGCTGTCCGTTTGTGTGCATCTTCTCTGGCGATCGTGCGTGTTTCTCGTCAAACCCTGTTTCCGCTTTGCACCGGTACTTTTTTACCGCGATTGAGATGCTTGGAGACTCTCGTCTGAAACCATCGATGCGACTAGCTTTTGGAAGCCGTTAAAGAAGGCCCGGGAACAAGATGGCGCCGGCCACAAGTGCCCTTTGGCAGCTAGTTTCAGTCGCAGTTGGACTCGTTGGATTCACCACAACTTTAACGATGCTGTCTACTGACGACACCATGGGACCAAGTTCGACAAGCGATACACTTCAGATTGATGCTGTGGACTACTCAATGGCAAGAAGGTGCAGCGGGTTTAAAAATCGGCGCAAACGAAGACCGTTTTGTTGGTAAAGTCGGCTACCAGAAAGTTCGGCCTCATTGGAGTTAGCGCTAATAACCCTTCGCCATCCGATTTTCGACAGCCAACGAGCTTGGAGTTGACGCGAGCACTGATGACACTGTCATCAGTGAACAGGGACAGCATGACGTGTAGCTAGAATTGAGGCAGACATCATCGCGAGCAAGCGGAACGCCGTACAAAAGAAAATAGGCAACTTCTTTGCGCCTAAGCGCTGACCTATGAGGAAGCGCCGGGCACGTTTTTTTAGACAAACGACTTTTTGAGAGCCACCTAAACGATGCATTTACAACATTGCCACGAGAATTTTGTACTACAGCTATGACCCTCTGTGTCAGCAAAACATACCAATAAAAAAAAAAGCATTTTTGCGGACATTCGTTTTTTCCGGGCGGATGTCCGATTTTCCGTGCATTTTCATGGTCCCTTGAAGGTCCGGAACACAGCAACTTATTCCCCAGGGCAGCATGCTGCCTAACAGCTAGTCGTTTAAGCCTTATACCCCACAGCTTTTCCAGAACACATGAACAGCTTGTCATGGTGGGTGGGGTTCTGATAATGCTTTCCACATTGGAAAAATTTTTTTAGAAATGATTCCAAGGGTGGAAGGCAGATTTTTTTGTTTTGCAGGAGAATAGATGGGGAACATGAAATTTGGGGCAAAAGTTCCTTATAAAAAAATTTGCAGTGCATGTCGAAACTTCAAATGCGATTTTCTTAGCTTCTCATTTTTTGCCAACCTGATCACCCTTACGGAACTTTTCATCACATTTTTGTGAAGCAATTTTTTTTTTTTAAATTTTATGCCGTTGAGTTGAACCGTTGAACTCGTAAGATTCGGGACTGTGGAGCTATGCTATTTTTTTGTGGCTAAGAGGGACATATGAAATATTGTGAACATTAATCTGAGCTAATTAAATTTCAAATTTATGGAGCATCAATGCAAATAAGAATTTTTATATGATTACGTATCTCAGTGACAATATAAATAACATAGCTCCACATGGCAGGTCCTTAGCTACAGCTGCATCCTAAACAGAACCTAAAACTAAAAATACTGAGGGAAAGTGCCTTAACGACCCATAAGAAATTACACAATTAGACTTCACTTATGCTCTCACAATTTGATAACTAGTTGGTGTACATTAAAACTAAACATATCCTTTAAAAGAGGAAGAAAAAATACATATGCACACCTAATTTCATTACAGTATCTCCATTAATAAAAATTTTTATTTCAAGACCAGCGTCTTCCCTTAAGCTTAAAAGCCTGTTTCGCCGGCTTATACACTCTAACTGTAATAAATAATGTTACGTGTTTTACAGGTTATCTCTTGCATCCTACTGAAAGTCAAATCCTGCTACTTCTCAAACTTGTTTCGACTTCCTTTGAACGGGAAAAAAAAAATAAAGAAAGCTTTTGCATAGAGGCCTTGTTTGAAAAAGAAAATATTGTGCAGGTTAGTTAGGTTATGATAAATATGCCCATTTTCTTTATACATCATATGTTCTATTTGAATTCAATTCCAAATTATTCGACCGAAGCCACTATTTGCTTCGAACCTAAAATTTACTATTCGCACAAGCCTAGTTATTCGAAGGTCGCACGTTTGGTCCCTGCCCACAGAAAGTTATCTTCTTGTCCACTTTTCTCTCTTCCCGATTACATTACAATTACTTATAATAAAATCCCCTATACTTTCCTTGGCATAGTTGTCTGTCAGTTTTTAATAATGTCATTGCCATGGCACTTGTAAGCCAGAGACGGCATTAATAAAAGGCTTTCACAGGGTACATTGCAAAGTTTTTAGCACAGATGCAGGCACAAGTTTGCAAGATAGATGCATGTAAAACATTCAACATACGATGGACGAGGGTCCTTGAATGTTGTTGTCTTAGAATTGTGGTCCACAAAGTAGCGTACTCGGTTTGCTGTATATTTGATTTCCCAACCTGGAGGAAGAGGCTCCTCCTTCCTGCATAATGAATTGAATATTAAATGTCGGTCACTATGCAAATAAAAAGCTTTTAACCAGAACCTCAAAAAGAGAATGTCTCTCACCCTTGAGTGCGTGGGTCTTCCCATTGGGTTGTTTTGTTCTTGTGGTTCACAAAGTACACACGATTGTTTGGGTCAATTCTTTTTTCTGTAAAAATATAGAGAAAAAAATTATTAGTATAATCAAAAAGAAGAAGAAAGGTGTGTTACGATAATTTTTACATACCCCACCCTTCAGGCAGAGGCCCCAGTGGATCATCATCATCTACCTGGACTGGTGTCTACAAAAGTAAAGACATGATGCAGATGGACATGATGGTCAGAGCAAGGAACACACAAAGGCCAACTGCAATGAAATTTGACTCCGGCAGAATTAGCTCGGAAAGCGTAGCATATGTTTGGTTAGCAATATTAATGGCATATATGATTTATAATCGGTGCTCTGTGGAGCCCCGCCGGTATGCCCGAGCAAACCAGACATATACGAAAATGACATTTCCAGCTGCCACCGCTTATGAACAGAACCCTGTTCACCAGCATCCACCCCCCCCCCCCCCTTTTTTTTTCTACGTGCCGCCCCTCCATGAGCGGATAATTCAGAATAGTTGACTCTTTTGTAGTAAGGAAGGCGGGGCTGTAGGCTTCTGGCACATATGTTACGGCTGGGACCAGATTTCGCACTTTTCCGAAAAAACGTAATGCTCTAAAAGCTGTGAATTATCAGAGTAAAGTGAAAGGAATGGGAGGTATTGAAGAGCACATGTGGTGCTTTACGCGGCACACTTAAAAAAATGACAAATATAAACACGATTGCTGTCTCTTCGCTCAAATGCGGTTGAAACTTGTGCGAGTGCTAACACCCCCCTGTAAGGTTGTTTGCACCTCGTGGTGCAAATGTTTCGCGCATAGGCCGCAATTCAGGTTCACAACTATCGTGTGGTGGGGGGCGTTGTGCTCGCGAGCACTTATCACCACCATCACCATGGTTGTTAGAATGGTAGCGTTGGCAGTGATGACTGCCGGCAAGCCTTGGTGAGGCGGGAAGTGAGAGATGAGTGGTCCTCTTTGAAAGGTGGCAGTAGGCGCGAACGGTTGTCTCTAGCGGTGGGGCCCCGTTGCGCGGCACCGCGGGTGGCACGCCGGCGGCCCTCGTGGCAAGTCAAGCATTGGCCATGCCACCGTGTGTGTGTCCTTGAATTTGTCATGTTGTTGAGTGTTGTGTAATTTTGTGTAAGGCTGTTTTAGCGTATTGATCACAATTGATGTATTCGGCTAACGATATCGTCAATCTCAAAGTAAATGTGTGTTCTTTGATTCGGTCCGACCAAGTCTACTGTGTCCGTTCACTCCAATAGCGTGGTGCTCTCGCCATATCCAGACCCCACAAACTGAAAAAAAATGTTCCATTTTCACACAATGCCTTCAATATTCAGCCATTGCAAATGTGACAGCACAAAGCCTGAACCAGCGTTTGGAGAATCACCGACGATGAGAAGTAATCCTGTTAAACAGCTTCAGTATAGCAAAACGCCATTTCAAAAACACCGATAAAACGACGCCCCGTGAGGCGCCAGACTAGCTGCGCCATCTATGTGAGAGTAATCAAAGCTTCGCCTCTAGTTGCGAGTTGTAAAGGCAGTGAAGTTTGACAAAAATGTAATTGCCCTCAGTTCATAGCAACTTAAAGGGGACCTCCAACACTTTTGAAGCACTCATGTTTTATTAGTGGTTTGCGTAGACCCATAGCTGGATATGATTTTAGCATAGGTCTAAGCACTGATATCAAACGATTTAGTATATTAATCACGCAAAAAGGTTACTACATCCTTGCCGACCACGTAGTGGCACTTGTCATAACTTTGCAGCCGAAAATGACGCCGGATGGTTGCCGCCATATGATTAGATAAATGTAATGTTACAAGCGATCGTGGTGTAGGATCAAAACTGATGTTACTAATCTCATTTTTCTTCTCTGCACTTTTTCATTGAACTACGAACAAACGTGGCTGCAACAAAAACGATCACTGCAACTACAAAGCACAACAGAGATGCTGACTACCATTTCGCCACTGAAGTTTTGGCTTGCACTGATTGGATGTCCCTACGAAAGAACTCTTTCTTTCTTCTTCTTGCTTTTAGGAGTTCGTGAGATGTCTCTTTTCACACTATATTGAAGGGGTGCAGTGCACTATTGTTGTTTGTCGGCTGGCTCATGAAGGGTCAGTCACCAATACCTCCCCACCCTGGTCATTGCACAAGTTCCTTTCTCAGAATAAGAAGGAGTGAATCAAAATGTTGTAAATAACAGCAGAAAATACCTCGCTTCGAAACAGTAGCACCCGTTCACTTTTTGGCAAGTCAAGCGTCAGGCACCACGTTTGTTACTCTGGCAACGAGGTCAACGTTGGGGGCCCCCCTGTAATGTTGTTCGTACCTCGTGGTGCACACGTATTTTGTGCATAGGCCACATTTAGGGTTCACAATCATCGAGGTGTAGGTGGCGCTGTGCTCGCAAGCGATTACATCATCACCATGGTTGGCACGGTAACACTGGCACTGATGCCTGGCCGTGTGGCAGCACATGAGAGATGAGTGGTGCTCTTTGGAGTGTGGCGGTTCGCATAAACAGTTGTCTCTTGCAGTGGGTCCAAGGGGACAGCCCCGCAGGTAGTCTCCCATGGGCCCTCATGGTGAGTCGAGCGTTGACGATGCCGCCTTCGCGTTACCTTGTTTGTTATGTTAATTGAGTGTATTAGAATATTGTGCAAGGTTGTTTCAGTGTGTTGATCACTAGTGATGTATTTTGATTCAGCTGACGATATCATAAAAAGCAGTTAAATAAATGTGTTGTTTGGTTTGACCGTGTCTACCGTGTCTGTGTATGTTCCGAGAACAGCAGCTCTCTTTTCAAGACCCCGCAACATCACTTTCGAAAGAACAAGCAACAACGTAGTGCAAGCTTCCTCTACGTGGGCCCTCCCAGCTCATTTCATTGGGGGAGCCATCTGATGTCATCGAGTGAGTGAAATGCAGTCAGATGACCCCGCGAAAATCAAGTTGAGGGTAGGCATTTTTTTTCTTGTATTTTGAATTTTATCAATGCCATTATCACTGCCGTTCTTGCTGCATTAGTGTGTCTGTATGTCAGTCTACACAACCCACGAATATAAAATGGATTGCTAAATTAGTGTTGGGGGGCTCTTCTAAGCCTCTAAATGTACAGTCGACTCTTATTAATTCAAACTCGAAGCAACCTTTGAATTTTGTTTGAATTATCAAGAAGTTCGAATTATTCAAAGTTCTCAGATATACAACTCAAGGTGGGGTGACACCACACATTATGATTGGACATTGATTTTACCACATTAAAAGTTTCTAAAGTTTTTAAACCCTTACTGCTTGCAATGAATAGAAAGCACACGAGCAAGTAAATGGCCAAATTTGTTGGCCATTTACTGCTGATCAGACCTTTTTAAGAAATCGTGAATTGCCAACTGCTTCTTTGCTATATGTGCCTTCAGCACAATGTTTTCTATACCAGTTGAAAAGCATCACGCCTTACAATGTGCGTGCTTCGTTTCAAACATTTGTTTCCTAGAAAAGTCTTTTTCCTTGAAGGCCCAAGGTTCTTAATTTTCATTCTTAGACTGTTATGATTATATAACCATGCAAATTTTTAATTAGTAGAGGGAAACAGCATGAAACTGCAAAATTTACGAATTAACCAAATAATGGGGTTTGATTTAAGAGGCTTTTAAATACATCAAAACAGTAGAGAGCCAACCAAAAATTGAATTTTGTTTAAAATAACTGAAAGTATGAATTATAAAAGTTCCAATTATCGCGAGTCTACTGTATTATCAGAAAACAAATTGTACTAAATTAGGTATGTAAATGTTTTGGGTTGAGTCAAGTGTTTAAAAAATTCAGGGACGCTCTCGGCAAACATGGGGGTGTGCCAAACTGAGCATCGACATCAGAAACAACGCAGTCTTATCAGCCGCAGCCTATCAAAAAAGCGAGAATACCTCAAGTGTAAACTAGCAGAATCATTTACTGTGAACCAGAGCATTCTCAAAGACGGTATAAGTGTAAAGTGGGCAGCTGTTATTTAGAGAAACGCTTGAACGAACTTTTATGATCAAATATCCATGTTTCCTTCACGGTGCACGTCTACATAGTTTACTTTTTCATTACCATCTACAGAGGAAACTCTGGAGCAGGGCTGCAAAGCACATACTTCAAAGCGCAGAGCAGACGATTCGCTTGCATCGGTTGGTCTGCTGGGCTGATGTCAATGTCACTTCTGGTCAGCTGTAATGATGTTATTTTTTCTAGTTTCAGTATGAAAATTTGCGTTGTTAGCGAGTTGTTTCTGTTACATAACTACTTGCATTTCGAAGGCGAAACTTGGCAGGTCATATCATCTCCAGCTGGACTACCTATACATCGATTTTTTAAGGTCATCAAAATAATTTTTCATTAACAGACCGGCACCAGACTTTCTTTGACACGGGACCCTTGACAGTGTAAAGTATGTAATGCACGTAAGAAAGACAGCTACTCACATGGTACAGGAAGCGTTGCTGGCACTGCTGCATGGCTTGAGCCTGTGTTGACTGCCAATGCTGATAGTTACGCACACTCTCAGCTGTTGGCCTTTGCCATGTAGTTGTCCTTGTATTGTGATCGACATAGTACACCCGTCCCCTGTTGTCACGTCTCATCTCCCAACTGCACGATTTAAGAAGGCACCAGAAGAAAATTCAGTAGTTAGGTACTTAAGCAACTAGAACTAAATACTATACAATGCTGCTAGGGAAATATTCACTAACGCCCTCGCAGCGCTCTTGTACAGCACAACAAAAAGTAAGCATATTCGGTACAGCATATTTCTAGAAGGAACTGGTATATGAAATATTTCAACAGCAATTTTTATTAGTTTACACATGACGTGTAAATCCATTAGGAGCTAAAACAAACACACACACACAACCTAGGACCTGCATAAATTTTTACCTCTCCTATTGCTTCTTTAGGGTAACACTGTCACATCAGCGGCAACGCGCATACCTTTGTCCCATAAAACAAAAAATTTTATCTTTAATTTGGCTGTGAAAGTGGTAAAAGAATTATCCTTAGCATTAACCAAGAGCTTTGTCTATCAACCAATTGGCAGATGAGAAAGACTCGTGCAGATAGACTTATTTCACTTCAAAACAAGTATCTATAACTTAAAATTGCATTTAAGCACTTCTGGTACTTTCTGTCCGAAACTAATCTTTGCTCTACTTTTGCAAATTAAAAGACTGTACCCAGTGCCTTCAAATTCATTGGTGGTAACACACACACACACACACACACACACACACACACACACACACGCACGCACGCACGCACGCACGCACGCGCGCACGCGCGCACACACACACACACACACACACACACACACACACACACACACACACACACACACACACACACACACACACACACACACACACACACACACACACACACACACACACACACACACACACTAAAGTCCTGGGTAAACAGCAATATTAAACTATGCCTGCGAGTTTTTTTTTATAAAAATGTGCCATTGTTCCCCAGTTCCAGAGAAAATTTCAGAAGTGGTCAACTACATGGAGTTCTACAATGAACAGGATTCTGCCTTCAAGAGGTGTCCACACTCGCTGTCAGGTCAGATATGCAACACAGTATGCTTCAACAGCCTTGAGGAGGGCACGATAACCAAAGAAATTTTTATTTATTCATCAAATTGGCTGATACCTGCTCAGTTGGTGTGTATCCGCTTGCCGCTTTCAAGTGTGAAATCATCTTGCTAATGCGATGTTTAATTTTTTAAATATTGAAAGATATTTTCTAAACTGAAGGAGTTACAATGTAGATTAGCACAAGAATATGGTGGCTTGGGCTAATTAATAATTTAGCATCAGCATAATTACACAGTACAAAATGAATGAAAACAGATGAAAGGACACAACAAAGGACTTCAACTTGATTTAATTACTGAAAACACTAGAAATATATACACACTATATGCCAACACACATCAGCACCTTCATACAACCTATAGCATCACCGCCAAATTAGCAGTTTCTTTTTTGATGAGGGCTAGAAGCCCTCACCAAAATGTAGTGTTTAATGAAGCATTATGATCATGTTAACACAGGTGTTCCAAGGCTGTCTCAGCATTCATTGTAGAGATTGTCATTGTGAATCAGACTTGGAAAAGTGCATTGTTGGCGTAAAACATTGTGAGCAGCTCACATGTGAAATCGTAGAAGCTAATAAAAATTATACAGTAGAATTTCGATGATACGAATTCGAAGGAAGCATGCAAAATATTCGTATCATCCTGAATTCGACTGAACCAAAACAAGATACAGGTGATCAGGAAGATGAACGATAACTTTATTACGATCAACTACTTCTTGCTGAAAAAGTCCATAATATTCTTTTGCACATTTCTACTTTCACCATGCTTGAAGAATGGCGCCTGAAAGGCATAAAACTGTGCCCAGTTTCTTCACTGATGTTGCCGACGCTTGCGGTGCGGTGCAGGACATCAAGGGCATGGCGGTTTTCAAACGTCGGCGACAGGTCACACACATCGGCGTCTTCACCGTCACCGACGAACTTCGTCTTTTCAACGACGTCAACCAGTTCTTCAATAGATGTCAGTCCACAGGTTGTGAGGTTATCATCCGCGGTGACAAATTCTCGCGCCGAAGCATCACTTTCGAGGTTCTCCGAACCCTCGATGTGCAAATCAGCGTCAGGGTCTTCGTTATCTTTTGTCGGAGCCGCATCTCGTCCCGAAAAAAATCCACACTTGCGAAAACAGTTCAGGATCGTTCCCTGCATCACATTATCCCAGGACATCATAAGAAAATGTAGCGCGTCCAGCAGACTAATCTTCAAGTTTACATTTTGCGCTCAATTTTCCCCAGAAGCCTCCGCCCAAGCGATCCTTTAAAATGATGTTTGACATTTCGAATTATTCCCGCGCTCAATTTTCACCAGAAGCCTCTGCAGAGGCAATCCTTTAAAATGATGTTTGACATTTTGAATTATTCCAGCGTCTAGCAGCTGTAGATGGCTTGTCATGTTTATGGGCAGGAGTCTTATGGCAACATTATTAAATTTCAAGTCTTTTGGATGGGCTGAACACTGGTTGACGAAAAACAAAATTTTTCTGTTTATTGCTGCCATTTTTTGGTCCAAAGTTGTCAGAAACTCCAGCAAAAGATCTGATGTCATCCATGCTTTCTTGTTTCCTTTGTACAAGCATGGCAAACGTCCTGCCAATCAGAAGCACCTTGGCTGTTTTGATTTGCCTATGACAGTAAGCTGTATTTTTTCGGAGCCATCGGCATTTATGCAAAAAAGGACGGTGACACGCTCCTTCCTTTTTTGACCACCCTGGCAAGCATGCCCCTTCACACACAGGCTCCTTTCTAGGTGAAGGTTGAAAAAGAATCCCGCCTCTTCAGCGTTGAAATGTCACACGGTGCCAGTGTTGTAGAGTTGCCACTCCGGAATAGACCATATGCGAAATTGCTTTGTGCTCTGGCAACACTGTGCAACTTGACCCCGCCGCCATTTTAATGTCGGCGAGAAGTCGACGGCAACGCGTTCGCTAGTACGGCCGTACGACTCCTGAACACTTCCTTCACTGCGCTGAGCTACTGCGATGGCCACAGCAAGACGTTTCCCAGCGCCTGAACATGTGATGTTAACAAACTGTTTAGAAAACTTGCCACATATATCGAATTCCACTGTAGAAGACATTATAAACCAGGCTCCGACGTCATCCGAGCAGCAAACCAAATCGTGTTAACAAACTGTTTAGAAAACTTGCCACATATATCGAATTCCACTGTAGAAGACATTATAAACCAGGCTCCGACGTCATCCGAGCAGCAAACCAAATCGTATGCCTTCGCCGTGGAAGCATACACCTTGCCGTGACGATGTCGTTGTTTTTCTATTTTATCGTTTTGGCCAAGCGTGCATTTTCACCTTCAAGTGAGCTGTTGAGCCTAGTGGGTTCCTCTAAACCTACCGGTGCTGCCTCCACTTCATCTGGGCTATGCATAGGCTCATCGCCTAGCACTCTTGGGTCTAAAGCCGGGTTTCGGCTTCTTGCTTGTGGTGAAGCACATTAGCTTTGTGGGCTTCAGTTTTTTGTTTTCCTTGGAAAAAGCAAAGTCTGACGGAACTGCCAAGTCCCGAAGGAGGCTGCGGCAACTCGCAACGCTAGGCATTAAGTCCGATGACCTAAAATGCTTCGAGCAGACCTTCGTTGACATGCCGACTTGAAATTTCGGGCCTTCATCCCTCTTGATCGCCACAACCCACATCGTATATCATTGCATCTTTCGGAAAGGGGTGGAAGGATACCTACAAGATATAGGCAAACAAACATTCAGTGCGACGTCATGAGCTAGGTTTCTTTTAGCTGTTTAAACGATTGTTGTTTACAAACACAGGCGCTATCACAAATGCAGCCCGCGCACCGCGGAGATTCATGCATCGTAGAATGTGCCCATAAAGCTTCTGCACACCATATCCTGTTTTGCGTTTAAATGATCGATGCAAAATCGTAATTCATGCCACATACGTTGCTCCCATCGCTGTCTGTGACTCCGTGCTGCTTACACAGCGGCACACATCAGTGTACTTGAATTTTGCCAGCAGAAAAATCAGACTGCGACAGTCGAAGCGTCGAAACGCATACGTTCGCTAGTGGGTTGCCCGCGCGTTGTGGTCAAGCCTCGCCAGCATCAAAACGGCGGATATGGTACCTGCTGCATTCACTAGATGGCGCTGTTAATTTCGCATATTGCCTATTGGAATGAATCAGGAATGATTCCACATTTTCGCAACCCCAGAATGGAATGGCAACATAGCTTGAAGGAATGGAATGAGAATGAAATCAGGCGCACTTTTCATGGAATGGAATGGGAGTGCAATTACGTCTTTTTCCAAAAATGCAACACATTTTCCTTGATGTCCTGTTTTTCAAACATTAAGTAGTCAGGCCCTCGATTTTATTGATAAAGCAGTAATTTAAAAAGGCGTGGCTGATTACAAGCACTGTACTACATTTATAAGCAATGCACAAACTATAATTCTCTCTTTATATAAACTGTGTTGCTCGGAAGTTTTTAGATGCGAAGCAGCTCTTTGACTAGCCTCTGTAACATTGTCCCTCCATCCGCATCATGCATACCAAGTAGGTCACGCCTTCCCTCGCAGTGCATGTGCATTGACATCTCTCTTTCCCTAGCCTGTCACCGCTCGCCGCGTGTCATCTCTCTCCACCCACCACTCCCACTGTTCGAGTGCACATCGAGTGGAAACAGCCTTTCAGCTAGTTTATCTGCCACGAAACTTACATGGAACCCAACCCGCCTCCCGTGTCTTTGCATTTCAAAGAAACATTTACTCGAGTAAAGGCTACACGGAGTTTCGCTTTAAACCACTCTTCCAGCACCCGTGTTACAGTGTCCGTTTCAGCCGGGTCAATGGTGTGGGCCCCGCTGCTGCTTCACATCGCATTATGGATCATGGTTCTCTTCGGGAAGATGGTCCATACTTTTTCTCTATTCTTCACGTAACTACGGCTCTATGCCATGGTGTCCACCTTGCGGAACTATACAGTGGTGGCGTACGCAGCTTACACATTGTGATTTTTTGTT